ATGGTTAAAAAAATAAAAAGGTTAAATAAATATATTTAAGGGGGTTATGGTAATTAATATTAATTTAATTCATAGTAACTCTTTTTGAAATACTAAAGATATTCTATAATATCCAACAATCCCCCACATACTTCAAAAGGAAGAAAAATTTTTCTTAAAAACTATTTTATACAACTAATTTGTAACTCCACATAATTGTTTTCAAAACTTTAAAAAAATTGCCCAGTCTGTTTGATATCATATTTGGCTCACGTGTGAGTAAGTGCATTTGCATAAGCCCACTTCTCCTTTAAGCCTATTTATTTGCCCAAGCTTATATCTTGGTATATATGTATTAAGGCTTCCATTCATTTGAGCAATATGGGACTTTCCTTTTTGACACAATTGCAACAATCCCCCACATGTGTCAAAAGGACCATTACCATTTGAGTTATTCACATGGAAGATAATCACTTTGAATTTGATGTCTTTCGACTTGAACCAAACCTAGACCAATAACACTTAGCGCACATAACAGTCAGTGTAACTTTGTTATTGAACTAACAGATTTTGATCGTGTATTAGAAGTCTTATTGGTCGGATTATACCCCCACAATTTCTGTTGTTAACGTCGTTTTACACGTTATCGATCATACGTGCACCTGGTTTTAACAAATGTTCTAGAGATTTCGTCACGATTTCATAGGAGCGACCCCACTTTACATTCATATAGGTGGTTTCATCAAGTGTATCTGCAATGAATGCACTATCCATAAGAACTATGAAAAACATTAAGAGCTTTTGCTCAGCCTTCAATCAATGCATTCTAACACTTTCTCAAGTCATAGGAAGGGGCAGAATATTTAGTGCCAGCAAAACTAATAAGTGACTTGTTCTTACCTATTGAACTTTCGTCATGGAATCTTCAATCCATCACCATTAATTTTAAATATTTTAAATAGGCTCAAGTCCCATTCTCCTTGACATTTAAACAATTAAAATTCTTTCCCAAGGGTTAGTTAATGAATCCGTCAAATTTACATTTGTTCTCACATAATCAACTGAGATAGCTCCCTCTTTTAACATGCTTAATTGTATCTCAAACGTTATTTACCTATACCACTGTTCTCTTTACAATGACTATCACCACTTGGCCATTATTCTCTTTGCAATGATTATCGTTATTTGGCAATTACAGAAATCATCGACATAATGTGTGTCGGTTTTACTTTCAATGCAATATTATTCACTAAGAAGTTTCTCAACTACGTAGCCTCATTTCTAACCAACTTCAGAGTAATATACTTTGGCTCGCATAATATTTTATTTGGCTATAAATGGATTTTTCCTTATGAATATAAAATTGAATCTACATCATTGTATTGTTTTAATACAATGGAAATCCATTTTATGTGATACCAACATTTATGGTATCTCTCAAATGCTTGTTTGTTTCATCCTCTCATGAAACTATTTGATGTGCTCAATTTCTATATAACATAACTATATCATGGATGCTCATCAACAATGAATGTCATATTTACACCAAAATTATTGTTATGGAGATTTTTTACAATGTAGCCTCCAATTTCAGAGTAATAAATTTTATGATCTTGTTATTAAATTTTTTTCCATCACCACTAAAGGTGGATAATCATTAGTTGATCTTCTCATACAAATATATAATTCAATTAACATCAATATATTTTATACAATAGGGATCTTGTTAACATCTAGAAGTTCATGTTATTTCATCACATTTTCCTTAGATTCTAATCCATTTTAGTTCAATTGTATATATTTTTATTGCCAAAATTAGGAAAATATACATTTTGTTTTCGGCTTGTGTTCTTGGCTTTAATTTGATATTTTTAGCCTAATTTCATGTTATTTTGATTAGAAGCATTTCTGGAGCTTTGTGGATGTTTTTGGAAGACTTTTGGATGAAGAAATCAAGAGCAAAATGAATGATTTTTGTTAGCTATAAAAACAGTGCAAAACTGCCAAAGTCGTGACTTTCGTTCGCGACTTTCGTCGCTGTCAGAAAAATGCTGTTTTTCATTTATCAGAAATTAGTTGGCTAGGACACATATAAGCTAAGAGCTCAACCCAGAACACATTCTTCAAACTTTTAGACACTTTTAGAGCTTGGTTGTGCTAGGGTTTGGGCATTGGAAGAGTTGGGATCAAGAGATTGAAGCTTTGAAGACATTTGGAGCTCATTTTCTTTGGTTTTTCTATTCCTCTTCCCTTTCCTCTCTTGTAATCTGAAATGGGTCCACTTATTTTGTATATTTGTAGCTTGTGGATGATTATGAGTAGCTAAACCCTTTGTTCTAAGATTATTTAGAACCCTTGTATGGATTAACACTATATTTCTCCTCTCTTTTTGTGATTAATGATATATATGTGTTTATTTTACTCTTTCCTTAATGCTTTTACTTGATTGGCCACCATTTAGATATTGAGTTCACTTAATTGATGCTTGAGAGGGCTAGATTGAGTGTATAACTTGGGTAAAATTGTGTAAGAACTTGATATTTGCATGTTGAATGGATGGTTTTGCTAGTAAGATAGAGATATACTTGCTAACCTTACATAGCCACATTAAGATTGATATTTAAAATTGAGTTTTATTAATTGTAATAAGAGATTGTGCAATCAATTTAACTAAACACTTGTTCATGACTTAAGAGAGCTTGTCCAAGTATTTTTAGAACCCTAGGTTAACACTTATTTTCATTAAAAGCATTTATGAGAGGAAATAATTTTGGTATTATGAAATGCAAAGGGAGATAAATAATCTTAGGTCCTAAATTGTGTTAGAAGTTTGTGAATCACTCACTTTTCTTTATTTTTTAGTATTAGTTTCATTTGAAAAATTATTTTCACCTAACTTTTTGTAGCTCAACTTGATCGAATTTATTTAGTCTTTTGCTTGATCATTGTTTTTGAACAAATCCTCGAGGGAACGATACTTTACTTTCATTATATTACTTGCTACGACCTGTGCACTTGCGTGAGCAACAGATCTATTATTCACAATCCCATAATTTAAAAAATATTTTATTTTTCTCGTACAGACCATAACACATATAAATAAATTATTGTCAACAATAATAAATATTTATGCCAAAATAAATAGATCATACACCTATTTAAAAGAAATTTATCAACACTAGATAAACAACTAAATTTTGCATTATCATCACAACGCCTGTTTCAAGCTAAGCCACAAAAATTGCATAATTAATAAATTTTACCATCATGCAAATAATAGCCTCCTCTTAATTAATTTTCCTCTAAATCACAACACAAAATAATATTTTGGCATTTATAAAATGAGGTTAATATTTTGGCACAGCACATTTTTTAGTAAAGCAAAATTATTTTTTCCAAGATACTCCACGTCCACATTAGGTACCACACTTTCAAACACTTTCAAATATTTCAATGATATGAAAAATGTTTTCAATAATTCTAATTAAATCAGAATCTCACCATATAATCTCCTTCCATTTTAATTAAATTAGAATTTCTCATAATTTTAAATTTACTACAAACATATCAACACATGCACAAACAGCCCAGTACAAAACAAGGTATGCAAAGCCTTCTCATATTTCCAATAAAATTTTAACACCATATAAAGTCCTTCACTCCTTTTTTCTATGCAAATAAATTTAATTGTGATTAATTTCAATTATGACACTCATAGTCATAAAATATCACAAACCAATATGCGTTTCTTCGAAAAAAATTTCAACACTCAAAGTATTAGGATGATTATTATTTTTTTGGATAACTATCAGGTTGATGGTTTTCACCAAAGGGTTCCGTGCATTCATTTTAAATCATTCGCTAAAGTCGCATAGAGTAGGTGGACTCTCTTTACTTCCATTTCACTTAAACTAAAGTGAGGACAAGCTTTTCCAAGTTGCACTTAGCCAGTTGCAGAATGGGTAATTTATCTTCCCCTGGATCCACAGTCCAAGGCATGTTTTAAAAAGGGAACTCTAGCATGTCAAGATTCTTCAATTCGAGTAGCTGTAAACTCAGTTGCTTGGACCCAATGTTGACGAGCCTTATTGTGGAGGTCTTTGCAACATATATGATTTATTACTATATATAGCAGCTGGAGCTGAATGTAGAACCAGAGGAGTTGCTGTTAGATGCAGGAAACGAAGTAATGCAAGCCAAGAATTGTTGCATTCAATTGACGGGTGAAGCATCAATACTTGTTCAACATCTGCCAATTTTACGAGCATAGCATACTCCTGATGATGTTCATAAAATTCAGGAAAATCAATACTTGGGACATAGTGTTGAAGTTTTTGTTTTTCATGTTGAAACCACTGGACTCCACATTGAGACAGTGCACATAACTGAAATTGCATTTTGAGATCTTCTTATATAATTTTTTTTTGAGACAATTGTATTCACGATTTTTATTTACAGGACCAAAGGTCTCTCAGAATTTTTTTTTTTGAATGGAGAACATGACAAAATTCCACAAGCAAGTTCGAATCATAAAGTCATGTTAGATCATAGATGTGAACTTGCCATCACAAATGTTTGGGCGACTAGCGTTCGACTTGAAGCTTTCTCTTCGTGACCTTCTGCAGAGAGCCATTGGGCCCTCAGAGTTAAATAAGCTACACGGAAGCTGTAAAACAAGAAGAAATTGTGCGTCAATTTGCTCATTCCATGAAAAACAGTTGAAGGCTGGCCATCTAAATTTCCGGGGGGAAAAAAATGCTCTCGTTGAGAGTCGAACTCAAGACCTCCCGCTTACTAAACGGGTGCTCTAACCAACTGAGCTACGAGAGCAACGCGGTGGAATTGTAACTTTAAAGAAATGACTATGACTGAAAGGGAATTACCGCGTAGCTCGCCCAACCTGGATGGAGGTTTCCTTCTATAGGCTCCGGGAAAGAAGAGGTAGCCAAGGGCATGCTGGTAATTTAAAAGAAAAACGTGGGTATTTGACGGAACCTGCGTGTTCTTTAAAAGAGAGGACATCGAGGCAGCCATGACCAGAAGGTCGGTAGAGAGTATCTCTCCCCTCTCTCCCTGTTCGTAAATATCTGGTTGGCTCCTTCCTCTCTCTGCTCTTTGACTTCATTAGGGTTTTATCGTTGACGCTCTCTTCCAGTCTCGGTTCTCCACCAAACTTATCCAACTGCCCCTGTCGCGTCCAGCAAGGATCATTTCCAGCTCTTCCCTTTACGATCGAATCGTGTTATAATGGACTCCGATTCCTGGATTTCTGCCCGTCTCTCAGCTGCCTCACGCCGCTATCAATCTCGATCTGGTTTGTTTTCCTTTTGGTTTATTTTATTTTGTTTCTTGGAAATATTCGGTTCCGTGTTGTTCGTCTTCGTCTGTTTGTTTCCCGAGAAATTGCGGGAAACTCTTAGGGAATTATGGTTGTCTTGATTTATTGAACGAGTTGGAATCGTGTTGGCGCAGATCTGTACCTTGGTGGATACGATGATATGGAGGGAGACGATGATTCACGGGCGGAGTTTCTCTGTCCTTTCTGTGCCGAGGATTATGACGTAGTTGGGCTTTGCTGTCACATTGATGAGGAGCATCCTGTGGAAGCTAAGAACGGGGTATCAGTTATATTTCATTTTACTTTCAATTTTTAACATCCTTATAAAGCACTCGCTCGTTTCTTTCCTCTTTTTTTTTTTTTAACTTTTAATTTGCAATCGCAATTTGATTATTATCTTCGACTTTTTTTTGGGTGAGATGATTTATTACTTTTAATTATTTTTTTTCCTTTGGCCAACGATTATTAATTTTAATTGAACAAAGGCATTTGTGGCGAATTCCAGTTTACGTCAATCTATAGTTCCCTTCTTTCGTTTTTAGTTCTTTTATGTATGCTTTACTGTATTAGACGATGCTTCTATTAATACAAAGCAAGGTCTTTTAAAAGATAATTTTGGGTGCATCCCATGGGATTCTGTTGCGCCTATTTCTCGCCCCTGCAGAAAAATTGAATTTCTTAATTGCTTGAAACATATGAAACTTGAGTTTTGCTGCCTTATTGTCGGAGAAAAAAAAAAATGCTACTACAGTTATGTATGCGTTCGGGTTGCTTTTGGAAAAGAAAAACATCTTGGTACTAAATTATGCGTTCGGGATGCTGGTGATTTGTGACGATCTCTTTATAACATTCCATGAAAAGAGTGAAGGTTTGGACTGTCTATCTGACTTTTATTGTATAAAGATTAGTTTTAAGTGGTTCATGTGGTTTAAGTGAGTATGGGATCTAGAGGAGAGAGTGGTTAGACCCAACTTGGTAACGAATATGGAAACTTGTTTGATTGAATGGCTTGTGGTTCTATTGAAGTAGGATGAAGTTTTTCCATTCTTTTCTGTAATACAACTTATTATTTGAAGTGTGATGGCCTTTGTCTTGTAGTTCGTCTGCTAACCATGGTTTATTGTCTTGCATTATCTATTTTCAGGTATGTCCAGTTTGTGGGAAAAAGGTTGGAATGGATCTTGTTGGCCATATTACCATGCAACATGGGAATTTTTTGAAGATATCCTTATTGCAAGTTGGCTCTGTTTAAAGTTTTGTTCATGTCATCTTTTCCTTACATGCACGAATCCATGCTCATCATGCTTGCATTTGTGTGTTCATCTATGTCTTTGGCAATCTTTTTGAAGAACAAAATGATCTATTTTAGTTAAGTTGTATTCTTTTCAAGTTATTGGATAATTTTAAGTAGGCATTTGAAATTGTTGAACAATAATGGAATTTAAAAATATGATGCATCTATGATGGGGAGATGCCATGAATTTGTGTTCGGAGTTAAGTTTTTGGATAATGGAAATATCATTATTTACATCATCTTCCCCTCACTATTAAAGCCCTGAGATATTATGTTTTGTCATTTTTAATTTTTTTTAGTATTATATACTTCAAGCATGTTTCTGTTCAGTAAGCATTTACAATTGATCTGTTGCTCGCTTCTCATTAATTTGGTCTATTTAACAAATGACTGTCTGTTTATTGTGTCTTCTTATGGCGTGACACCTATTATTCTGGTCCGCGTCTTGACTCTCTAGTACTAGATTGCAGTCCTGGTACGCTGTATTCTTTCTTTTCAATTGTTGATATTTGTTGTCACTGAGTCTAACATTGGTACAGGGAGCATGTCAGAGCCTCTGGTTAAAGTTTTTTTTTTTTGGTCTTCGCATTGCATCAAAGAGATACTTCATCCTCTAGGTCAACGTTTTGGTTTAGCGGCTCTAGGTCAATGTTTTGGTTTAGTGGCTCAGTTTCTATAACTGTTAGACTTCACTGTTGTTCCTTAACCAGAAATTACGTGCAGCGCAAGAGAAGATCGAGGAAAGGAGGCTCTAGTTCAACACTTCAACTATTGAAAAGAGAATTACGAGAAGGAACCTTGCAATCCCTTTTTGGAGGTTCTGCATATGCAGCTTCCTCCACTTCTGAGCCTGATCCTCTGCTTTCATCGTTTATTTATAACCCAGTTGCTGCGGATGAGCCTGTTAGCTCACAACCTTGTCCATCAGTTGAAACTACCCTGGTGAAGGAAAGCTCCAAAGATGATTTCTTGGAAAGGTGGGGATTGTTGTTTAATTAAGCTTTTCGCAGTGTTTCGGAAATTAAAATAAAATTTGTACTTTTAGTTGCATAATTGTTATGTGTTAAGATATTGCATGTTTGCGTACGCAGATGTGATGCTGTTTATGGTCACGCGGTTTAAATTTGTTGCAATATTATGTTTGCTAAAGTGCATGATGAAACCTAATTTTGTATTGTAGGGGTAATTATTTGGTTTCATGTGTAGGAATTGGACTGTAAATGATCACTCTCTCTCTCTCTCTCTCTCTCTCTCTCTCTCTCTCTGTGGTTGAAAAAAAGAAACTTTGTCACAGTATGATGGTATCTTTTCTTTTCCCTTTTCTATAACCTGTGATGCCTTGGTTTCAGAGAAAGTCGGAATGAACATTCTGGCTTTTTGGTTATTTCCATACTAAGGATTGGTGGTTCTTTTTGCCTTTCTCTACAACATTCCCTACTAATCCGGAACTTACAATCTACTATAGTCTGACAATGGTGTATCATGTATGGCTACAGAAAATCCCAAGAGTTGCAGCTGTCAGACAAGGATAAACAAGAGAAAACTCGGAGGTTCGAGTTCGTGCAAGGGCTATTGATGTCTACTATTCTGAATGATGACTTATGATTGGAATTGCAGCTGGTAAAGCCATTACTGGAGTAGGAACATGATCTCTATAAACACGAAGGAAGGAGTTCATTCAGATTGTTACGGAATGGTCGTAGCTAGATCCGAAGGAAGTGTATGTATCTACTATCTAGTTTGTGTTTTATAAAACAAAAATGGAAGCAACCTTTATAATTCTGCCGGTGTTCTTATGGCTATGCTAGTTCCTCTTAGGAAATCGCAATAAAATTTATGTGTGATGACCATGGGCGCTTAAAATTAGTAGAGCATTTGCGTAAATATAATTTCATCCCCTAGCCTTAAATACGTTGTCTTTTTTTTTTTTTTGGGTGTTAGTAATGAACTATAGGAGTTTTCATTATCGTCAAATGCCACGGTACGTAAATAATAGCAAGTCTCTCCGGATCAGTAGGACGGAATACAATTTGATATCTTATTGGAGTTTTGGTTTAGTCCGATGCTATTAGGTCTAGTTTGGTACCATAGAATGATTTTTAATGGAATGAGAATTGGTGTGGAATAATAATGGAAGTGGGTTGTATTAAAAAAAAAAAAAAAATAGAGTGGGAGTGGGAATGGGATTGTGATTTAAAAACATGTTTGGTATTTCAATGGAATGCTGATATAAAATTTTATTTGATATTTATAATAAAATGGTAAGTACCATTTTATCCTTAGCCTGAACGCAAGCATACTCGAGCACCACTGCACAAATCTTGACCAAGAACAATGGGTTGAACTCCTTGCTTGGTGTCCTGGAACAACAAGCCTTTGCCCCCCTTTCTCTCTAGCCTCTTCTTAAGATCTTCAAGCCCTTGTAATTTTTTGGCCCAAAAAGTTGTCCTTTGGAAGGGAGCTCATCTTTTTAGCATGATATAATTAATCATTTTATGTCTCCATTTTAGTCTCAAAGCAAAGGCCTCTCTCTCTCTGACACACTCAAATACTTCCTAATTCATAAGTGGGTTGTGCATAGTTGAAAATAGACAATGAATACTCGGTGGCTTGTGGTTAGGAGCACGAGAACCTGATGAAAGATGCAGTGGTTGCTCGAAATGCGTTTGTCGTTGGCCATTCCGTGCAATGGATTCTGATGCCATTGCTGAAGAAGGTGAAGTTGGAGAAAATATTAAAGTTCATGGAGGAAAGTCGTTAAAAAAGAGAGGATGTGAAGCAGCGTCGTCTTCTCCACCCCAGAACTCCAGATTTGAAGCTGTCGATGTCACAGGAGAAAGATGAAGAAGATGGGGGAGGGACCAGCATTGTCGTTGTTAGGAGGACGGGAAGAAGGAGAAGGATGTAGAGGCAGGAGAAGGACGATCCTGAAGGAGGAGGTTTACGATGGAGAAATGAAGGGTAGGACTGTCAATACAAATTTTAGCAAGGGATATTTTGGATTGAAAAAAATTCATTCCCAAGGAAATGCTCCCATTCCTATGGTCTGGTGATGGAATGGAGACTTAATGGGCCATTCTACTGGAATGTTCACTGGAGTCATTTATATTTTCATTCCCATTCCATTTCTCTCTATTTTATCGTAACATGAACTTAAAGTATTCTATTGTAGTAACAAGTTGTCGAAACCTAACAACGTAATTGTGGTTGGCAATAAACCAAATGTTGGAAGGAAAGAAAATGGAGAGGAGAAAATTAGAGAAATAATATTATGAAATGAAAATCAATAAGAAAGAAAATAGGCAAAAAGTCATGATATATGATATGTCATCATTTCTATGAAAATAAATTCAAAGCAAAAATCATACCCAAATTAACACTAGAGAAATATTCGAGTTTTACAAAAATTAGAGCAAATAGATGAAGTCAAGTTGATGAATGGCCAATCAATAGAGGTGAACACTGGACACAGAGGAAAATATTGACACTGACAAAGAGACAACTGAGCTAAAGGCGTTGAGAGCAGATGTAGTTGGCTTCATTTCATTGCAGTGTGGGGAATTTTGCATATCTGAATTATTAAATTATATATGATGATTTAGATTTCATAATTTTTAAAAGTACAGATTAATCTATATTGTTAAAATTTAATCTGAATGATTCAGATTTGTAACGGAATCACACTATAAAGAAAATATAGTGGAAAGAAACTAAACCCGAAACAGACGGTGAGAAGTGAAGGCATGGATACATGTGAAAAAGTCAACGAGGATAATGACGAAATAATCATCTGCCCCTACTCTCGTTTTTTTTTTTTTTTTTCCATCTATTTCTCCTTGTCCCAGTTTTCCTTTCTCATCCAAATAAGAGAAAGCTGTTTTTTCTTTCCATCCAAATAAGGAGTGAGATTGACCTTTTTTTGGGGCTTTGAAGAGATTAGCCATTTGATTAACGAACAAGCTAATTAAAGTGGCCAAATTTGTGATTTAGCCATGGACACCTTGTGTAAACATCCATTTCGAACCAAAAAAAAAAAATCACTTGCTATGGATGTTGGGTTTCTTCAAGAAGTGCAATTACCTATCCGTTTTTCCAAAACATCTCTAGCGACTAGCGAGGACGCCATGCATTTGTGATATTACTTTGATCTTGGCCACAAAAAAAAAAAAAAAAAGATATTACCTTGATCGTTTATGGACCAACTTTCATCGAGTGCCCGGGTCAACAGCCTCTCTTAGAATTTGATGTAGCCTCCCCATTCTCATCAACAAACTAACGTATGAGGGATTTTTGCCCAGTTTTGCCTCTCGCTCCTATTTTGTTGCCTTTCTAATCAATATTTATATATCAAATATATATAATGCATAATTTATAAAAAGTCATAAGCGATGAACAATAAATTATTATATGGGTCACTGCAAACCTTATGCGATGCATGGGGTCCACCGTTCATACTTTTTTTCTTTTTTAAATTTTTGTAACGTTTGATGTGTCTCTGAGATACAATTGTTTGTAATTAATTGATGCATACGTATGGTATGGAAGACAAAATTTTGCGTCTGACTTGTGAACAGTGTAGTGGCGATTAGTATATTGGTCATGACTCATCAAGCCAGCAATTGGGTTCTTTTATATTGAAGATATGTTCCTTAAATCTTGCTTCTTGCTGGGCATCAATCTGAAACTACGGAGTCCCAAATTCAAATATTCTTTTGCTTCAAGTAATTTGGATGGAAAAGAAAGTTATAGTAGAGAAAGATGGAGAAGAAAAATATTTCCAGTTTATCAAGGAAAAAGGAGGAAGAAAAAAAAAAGTTACGAAAGAAATAGGCATACGTACCATGTATTTTGTATTCAGAGTTTTCTGTTAATTTTGGAGTCAAAACATACTTTCTAAAATTATTTTGGAGAAGAAAAATATTTCCAGTTCATCAAGGAAAAAGGAGGAAGAAAAAAAAAAGTGACGAAAGAAATAGGCATACGTACCATGTATTTTTTATTCAGAGTTTTCTGTTAATTTTGGAGTCAAAACATACTTTCTAAAATTGTCCCAAAAAAAAAAAATTAAGCCTAAGGCTTCATACATGTATTTACTATCATTGTGATATTTAGTTATTTTTGTTTCTTCAGTGTTTTCTTCCTATTCATCCAAACATGAAAAGAAAAATTCCTGCATTTTTCTGTTACCTCTATTTTCTGCCATCTAAACAAGCATTAATATTAGAGCTTTATTTTCGTCAATTAAGTAAAAAAAGACAATACTTTCACGGCCCTTCTGGAAGGAGGAAACATTAATAATCTCACAGCATTAGTTTTAGTATGAAAGGAAATTCTTAGCAAATTTGTATAATATATACTTCTTCTGTTAAAAAATGTAAGGCATTTTTTAAGAAATTTAATGTTAAAAAATATAAGACATTTTTAATTTTTTGAGGTGTAATAATTACATTTTTTTTAAAAATACTCCTATTGACAATGACTTTATATTTATTATAGGGTATTTAATAAAGATAAATATAAAAATATAAGGTTAATTTGAAAATAGATAATTACTTTACTATAGGGTAAGATTTGATTAAAAATGTCTTACATTTTTTTTATAGAGGGAATATACATTATCATGTTTCTGTCCTCTATTATTATTATTATTATTATTATTATTATTATCATTTCTTCCTGCCTTACAGTATTCTCAACTGCCAGAAAATTAAACTGCATTTCTTAAGGGGTTGCTTCGTTTGAACGTGTTTCCAAGTCGCCTTCTTTGACTGAAAATTATATATCATCACATCACAAAATATAAAACGAAAAGATTTTAAAACCATAAACTCAACCACCTAAGCACCATGAGGCACTCAAACTGATCCATTTATCGCCGCCTATAAATACAGGCGCACTCTAGGCTGTCAAACCACACAAGAACCTTAATCTTCTCAAAACCCTCCCTCTTGTACTACGTATCAGTTTTGTTCTTAATTCTCCGTGCTCATCTATCATCATGGGAGTGTTCACTTACCAGAACGATAACGCCTCAACTGTGGCCACTTCCAGACTTTACAAAGCTCTGGTCGTTGATTTCGACAACCTCGTCCCAAAGATCATGGAAGGCGTCACCATTGAAATCCTCGAAGGGAATGGAGGACCTGGCACTCTCAAGAAGCTCACTTACCCCAGAGGTCACTTGCATACATGCATCATTATCTGTGTTGAACTCAGAACAAGCAAGCTAATTAATTGAAGAGACTCTAACAGATCAGATTGATGATGATAAATTTTGTGAATATGGTGCAGGTGAGGAAACAAAGTATTTGGTGCAGAAAGTGGAAGCAGTGGATGAAGCAAGCTATGCATATAACTACAGTATGATTGAAGGGAGTGGATTAGCAGAGGGAGTGGAGAAGATGACATTTGAGACCAAGTTAGTGGAAGGAGCTGATGGAGGATCTGTAGGCAAAGTCAGTATCACTTACTTCACCAAAACCGATGCTCCTCCAAGTGATGAAGAACTCGCTAATGGAAAAGCCAGTGGTGATGGCCTCTTCAGGGCTGTTGAGGCTTACCTTCTCGCTCATCCTGATCACTACAACTAATCAACTCACTCTCAACTCATATATATACACTACATATCATTGTTGTTATGGTTTGCTCCGTTTGTTATGACCAGGATTCTCTCTGAAGCACTTTACTTCTTTGAAGTATTTAAAGAGTATATATCCGTGTTCGTGTTCGTGTTCGTGTTTGTGATGATGATACAAGTTTTTGAATTTCTGGTACCGAATCAAAATATAATAATGAGAAAGTGTTTGCTTTTCTTTTCTTTCCCTACTTTCTTCTTGGGGTTGGATTTCTCAAATTCGATGTCAAGCTCGATGGTTGAGAGTAAATTGGAGGATGTAATGTAATATGAAATTGATGAATATATTTGTCACTTCTCTGGATATATGATGTAATAACTTTTACTTGTTATACTTGAATCAAAAGGAAGCATGTTAATTAATAATCTAGTGTTAGGGGGGAGAGACAAACTGGGTCAAAATTCCAATTATCAAGAACTGAAGACAAATATGAAAATTCCCTTGATTGAGTACGTTTGAGCTGTTGTTAATTCACGAGATGAGGATCCTTAATTAATTACGAATTGTATAGTGTATATAGTATATTATTATGCCGTCACGTATAGCGAAATATTCGAATCTGAAGGCTTGGACGGCATATACTGAGTACTATGGCGGTCAGAACAAAAAACAGACAAATGACAATTCACAGCACAGTGTATATATAATTTCCATCTAATTTACTAATTAAATTAAATAAAATTTTATTTGATATTCAAAAAGGAAAAAAAACTAAATGTTTACTAATTAATTGTTCATAACTAAAAGCTAAATTCACACACACACTTAAAGTCATATGAAATGCTAGATATTTTTGTTTGGCTAACTAAATGCGAGATAATTGATCGATCGAGGAGAGGAATAACACCGCATAGATCATAAATTAATTATCAAGATTAATGCAAAAATTGTTATACATAAGTAACAAATTTGTATACATATGTGATTGCGACTTTACGTTTATATCTTCTTTGATTTTTGGCTTTTTGTATTCACCTTGATTTTGATGATATTAGTTTGTAATATAAGAATCATTTTTTCTTTTGCTTCTTCCTTAAGATAAGTACTGACATCACTTGATAGATTATATATATTAATTGCCAGCTAATTCATTTGGACCATAATTAATTAAATTTAATCTAGTTTGATTTCACATGCAGGTACGTTGACTACACTCCAACATTATAATATATAAAAACAAATGTAAATTAAAAGAAAAGATCGATGTCAGTGAGTCAGTGACAGAATTCGGGTTTGGTTTCTGATATCTTCATCCCAGCTCACAAGAAATAGAAGGGAAGGGACGTGGAAGAAAGGACGGAAGCCGAAAGAAACTAAACAGTGTTTCTTCTTCTTCTGTTTTGTGTTGGTAAAAACCCTTCAAAGGATACCTCTCTATTTATATTTATAAGTAACTTTTATTATATTTTATTAGAATTTAAAATTTTTTTAAAATTAATTCTTTTCATTTGATTTATCTTTTTCATTTTCTTTCAGTTGATGTACTGTTTAGAATTGTGACATAAATATTTGATCTCCTTTGCCTAAAAATTGAATAAATTCTTTGATTTGCATTTGGTGTGATCACCTCAAGGCCCGGATTAATTTTTTCATTTTTTATTTTAATAAACATAATATTAAAAATATTTAAAAATTAATTTATATGGATGACATGAATTGATTTGAATTAAAATGGAAGGCTAAGATTGCTCCTAGCCCCGATGAGCACCAAATGCGGACGCGAGGGTGGAGTGGAGAGAGACAAATTAAATGAAACAAAGTGTGATGGGTTTGTTGGTTGTTCTGAGGAAGGGATGTTGAATTAAAAATTCATACGAGGTATCGTGGGTTAGACATGACTCTTAATTTGAATAACATAATAATTACAGAGTGTTTGGTTATTGATTAACTAGATAGATACATGGAGGAAGCATTAATTAAAAACCTGAATAATTAGGGAAGAAGAAATTTGACCCAAAAGAAACTGGGCGGAGATTCTGATATATTGCATTCAGTGGTTGTCAAACTTCATCGTTGTATAAAGCATCATGATTATATATAATGAATTATGTCAAAAATAATTGGGGAAAATACTAAAATTTGTTGCCTGTTATATAAATATAATTCACGACGGCAGGAAGAGCAACGTTGAATTGAATTATTGAATTAAATTAAACGTAAATTAAAAGGCATTATTTAGAATTTAGAACTGTTCACATGTGACTTTGTTTTAGTCGTCATCAGTAACACTTCCGACTCAATACAGCTATCATCAGTATAAAATATTACCATCATAAGTAACAATCTCTAGGGATCGCAGGTCAAAAATATTATTTCCTTCCCCTTTAAATGTAAAAAATTAGTAATTTAAAAAGTTTGCTTAAAAATAAAACCTCGATCTATTTTTTCTTAAATATACTCTTGTTGTTTGCACATATGATATATCAATAGGAATAGTTTTTAATATAAATCATTAATATTATAAGTATTTAAAGAAGTGAACCAACTCTTTTACAAATAATTAATAATTAATTTAACTAATTCTCTCAATATTTATGAATTAGTTATCGCTTTCATGTATTAAGTTAATTAAAGCATCCTTAACTCAGTTTTGTTATTCACTCAGTTGTTACCATAAGGATTTTTCCCCCCTAAAACAATCACTGATACAAAAATGACTTTTTACAATAGTTAAAAATAACTTTTTACAGTGGTTAAAGAGACGATGTTGTTTCAGGGGGTGTCTCTCTTTTTACATCGGTTATAAACTCGATGTAAAAATTAAATTTTTTACATTAGTTAAAGAGCCGATGTTGAAAATTATATACAAGAAAATAAAAAAAAATTTCACTTTAACTTTTTACACCGGTTATTACCATAACCGGTGTAAAAAATATTATATTCTATAATGGTTGTGGTAATAACCAGTGTAAAAAGTATTTTATTTTTTTTATACTATATTTATTTTATTGATTTTACCCATTTCTATGCATAAAAATTATCAAATCAGACAGTTCAATTAATTTATAATTGTTTAGCAAGTATTTATCAACTATGCAAAGCTATTTAACTATTAAAAAAATTAATAATTGTCTAAATTGTCAAAATTGCCATTCTTATGCATAAAAATTGCCAAATCAGACAACTCAATTCATTTACAATTATTTATCAAGCATTTATCAACTATACAAAATTATTTAACTATTAAGAAAACTAATACTTATCTAAATTGTGTCAACTATCAAAATTAAAACATATCTAAAAGTAACAAAAAACCTCACAAGTTCTCCGCAAAATAGGTTGCCCAACGTATGCAAATATCTGCAATTTTAGCTTTCAAAAATGCATCTGAATTATCGAACATCTAAAATTTGATTCATAAAATAGGCATATTAATCAATCTCAAATAACATAATAAAATAAAATTTTTAAAAATATATTTACCTCTTTTGTAAATTCGGTCATGCCTAATGTGATAATATTGAGCATGTGCTTCATGACATATAGACTGCATAAGTTCGTCCTCACCAGTTGTCTATGACTCTGTATAAGAATAAATCATAAAAAATTAGTAAGAAATCTTAATAATTGAACATATTAATAAAGTATAGCATTACCTTTGGCTCAATCCATGTGGGATCCTTAAGCTCATGTCCATGCTTTTGTAAGACTACATTTTGATATGTTCTCATTGCCCTATGATCAGGATTACCAAGTTAGTAAAAATATTCAAAAATAAATAAATTAAATAGTTTAGTAAAAGTATTCTTATAAGTCTATCGTCTTCTTCATTTCTTTCCCAAGTTTGTAATGGAGAGAGCATAAAAAGACGACAGTGTTGCTCTTCATTGAAAGAACAAATAACTACCAATGGTCCCTGCTAAATATGATACAAGTTAAAGTAAATTCATATTAAAAAACAATTAATTATAAATTGATCCTTACGAGTGCACATATGGAGCCATAAAAACATCCTTTTTGACTTCACATATTCTCTGTTGGAGGTACGCAGCCCTTAACTCTGGAGTATTACCTTTCTTTGTCATGTGATGAGGGCAAAGGAATCCAAACTTATCACCTTTGCCCGATGTAATGCACAAATAATGAAGATACCTACAATAATACAATTATATTAGTTTACTAAACTTGATGATTAAGTTTACTTACAACAATGCAATTATATTAAAGAAAAATATACTTACATCATAAATAATTCAATGTGTGGTGTGGTAAGCTGATTATTCGACAGAAGTCGAATCAAATCTTCTCATTCAATTGTCACTATCATGTCTTTCTTGCCCACAACCTCTAGATCCATTTCTAAACTCTTGAATTTGAATGATAAATCATACGCCATTAAGATCATTCGCTGATGTGGAGTCAACGAGGGTTGTGGAAGCTTTGGGAGATTCGGCGAAGAAAGCTTCTACATAATAAAAAGGCAAGAAATAGTTAATAAAAAACATATATTAGGAAGTTGCTATATAATAAAAATTCATGAAATTTCGTACCACAGCTTGAACTAGATTCACAAGTCTCTTAAGCCATAAGATAAAATTGCCAACAGCTTCAACCATAGTCTTCACCTCATCAGTAGGGAATGGAACCAAAGCATTTGGCACTTTTGGATTTGCAACCACCACTCTTACTTGATCATCTTGAATTTGCTTGTGGTGGATGGTTGACCCAAGCTATAGATGCTACCAAGCAACCAAGCATTTATCAGGATCTTCTAGAAATATCTCACATGGTTCACCAATGTTGTCACCAGAAGGACCCTCTGACACACGCTCAAAAATATTACTCCCTTTTGTACTATGAAATGCAGGAGACGTATGAATTGGTTCAGCAGTTGTCTCCTGTCGTGAGCTCATTATGCTCATCATCTCCTCCTTCATTTGCTCTTTCATTTGTAGAAGCCGAGGTGCAAATGAAGCTTCAAACTCATCCTTAGTTTGCTGCCTCACAGTGGATATTAATGTATCAAACTCTTCTCTAGTCACTACACCTCCTGAATTGGGATGTGCAGGTGCTCCAAAGTAGTCCTTAATGCCCACACCATATCCAACGCCTCTCACACGACCTGGATGCTCTGGCTTGCCTGTAGCAACTGTTAAGATATCATTTCTGCCCTCTGGAATGAAGCTTCCTTGAGCTTGTTGCTCCTTAAGAGTATCCTATAATATAAAAATAACAATATTAATTAATAATATATACAATTGTATAGAAATTTAAAGGAACAAGGAATAATAATTTTACTTACAATCCTCTCGGCAATCTCCCGTGCTATCTCACTTGTATAGCCTCCTTTCTTATACTGATGT